CTCCCAAGTAGCTGGGACCACAGGCGCCCACCACAACCCCCGGCTGTTTTTTGGTTGCAGCCATCATTGTTGTTTGGCGGGCCCGAGCTGGGGATTCGAACCTGCCACCTTAGGTGTATGTGGCTGGCACCTTAGCCGCTTGAGCCACAGGCGCCGAGCCTGTTGGTTAGGATCTTGTTGAATATTTTCACATCAACATTCATTAGTGATATTGGTCGGTAATTTTCTTTCTTTGTTGGGTCTTTTCCTGGTTTGGGGATCAAAGTGATGTTTGCTTCATAGAATGTTTTGGATATTATTCTGTCTTTTTCTATCTTTTGGAAAAGGTTAAGTAGTATAGGTACTAGTTCCTCTATAAAGGTTTGAGAGAATTCTGACATGAAGCCATATGGTCCCGGGCTCTTCTGTTTAGGGAGATTTTGTATAGTTGATGCTATTTCAGAACTTGACATAGGCCTGTTCAACATTTCCACTTCATTCTGGCTAAGTCTTGGGAGGTGGCGTGCTTCCAAGCCTTCAGGGATTCCTATAAGACAAATATTAGCTTTCTTTGAATTATCCCAGAGCTCTCCGAGAGAGTGATCCATTTTTGCTTTCCATTTCTCTTCATCCTTGTGTGCTTGGGAACATTCAGAAGCTTTGTCTTCAATGTCAGAGATCCTTTCTTCTGCCTGGTCCATTCTGTTACGGAGGGATTCTACCATATTTTTCAGATCTTTGAGGGCTGCAATCTCTTGCCTCAGTGTTTCAAAATCTTTGGTCATTTTATCTTTGAAATCACTGAATTCTTGAGAAATCTTTTGAATAATTTCTTGAGACATCTTTTGAATCATTTCTTGAAATTCTAATTCCCTCCTCTCTTCCATTCTGTTAATCTTATTTGTTATCCAAATTCTGAACTCAATTTCTGACATCTCAGCCATCTGTTTATGGATGGGATCTTCAATTGCATCTGCCCCATCCTTCCTTGGGGAAGTTGATCTATTCTGGTTATTCGAATTACCAGAGTTTTTCCGCTGATTCCGCCCCATGCTGAATTTACACCATGTGAGGACCGTACCAGAACCTTTCAGTCAGCGGCCTCCACTGGAGAAGATGCCAGCTTCCTCTGGTTGCCCAGAGAGGCAGAGCATGTCTGTCTGGAAGAGCCTGAGGGGTATGAGCCTTGTTGTTCCCACTGCTGTAGTTGCTGCTCTTCGCCTCGGGGTACCGCTTTTCTAGTGTGGTTCCCTCTCAACTGACCGTCCTCTCTCATAGTTCTTGGGCAACTGGTCAGGGATGCCAGGAGCATACAGCTCTGGCAATTCTGGGCACACCCGGAGCTGGGGACTCTTCCGCAGCTGCCTGCAGGTCATGCATGGCTCTAGCAAGCAGTTCTTGGCCCACCTGGAGTTGGGGATTCCTCTGCTGCCGCCCACAGGGCACGCAGCTCTAGCAAGCAGTTCTGGGCCCAACCAGAGTGAGGGACTCCTCCACCAGCCCCCATGGGGCACACGTGGCTCTAGCAAGCAGTTCTGGGCCCACCCGGAGCTGGGGACTCCTCCACCGCTGCCCACAGGACACGCACGCACTAGCAAGCAGTTCTGGGCCTGACCAGAGCCAGGGACTCTTCTGCCAGCTCCCTCAGGGCCCTCATGGCTCTAGCAAGCAGTTCTGGGCCCACCCGGAAAAGAAAAAAAAAAAAAAACATGGCCAGGAACAAAGCCTCACGCCTGTAGTCTTAGCACTCTGGGAGGCCGAGGTGGTGGATTGCTTCAGCTTAAAAGTTCAATACCAGCCTGAGCAAGAGCTCTGAGACCCCCATCTCCACTGAAAATAGAAAAACTGAGGCAAGAGGATTGCTTGAGCCTGAGTTAGAGGTTGCTGTGAGCTATCATGCCACAGCACTCTACCCAGGGTGACAGCGTGAGACTCTGTCTCAACCAAAAAAAAAAAAAAGGACAAAAAAAATTATGATAAAGCTTTATCAAGGAAATCAAGTTATCTTTCTAAAATAGATTAATATGTTTAGTTATTGACACTTACTCAGTCATTCTAGATACTATATAGTGGTAAAATAACAACAGTGGGCTGCTGTTTGTCAAGGACATAATTTGAATATTCTCTCTTTCATGAGAAAGGGATGTGTATGTAGGTTGCAGATGTGCTACAAATGACTCTCTCCTGAATTTCAGGGGACCACCAAAATCAACACCTTCAACTGGTCTAAGGTTCGTAAACTAAGCTTCAAGAGGAAACGGTTTCTTATCAAACTCCATCCAGAGGTTCATGTAAGTATTATTTTGAACAGTTAAAGAATTTATTGGCTCAGCCCACATTGCTCAGTGGTTAGGGTGCCACCCACATACACAGGGGCCCAGCAGGTTTGAACCCAGCCCAAGCCTGCTAAACAACAATAACAACTACAACAACAACAAAAAATAGCCAGGCATTGTGGCCAGTGCGTGTGATGCCACAGCATTCTACCAAGGGCGACGTAATGAGACTCTGTCTCCAAAAAAAAAAAAGAGTTTATTGTGCTGGTCTATCGAGCATTTTTATCAAGCTACTTTGTAAATCATTTCACCGTACCACACACAAGAATTTAAGGACAGCCTGCCCTACTGGTCACAATAACCTTCTCCAAGAACTTTGTCGCCCATATCCCTGAGCACCACCTCTGGGATTTCAGGCTCAACAGGTTTCATTGTCTGACAGGCTTCCAGGGGCCATTGGTTATCACAGCCTCCTTGTTTTATAGGTAACAAAGTAAAAAACAAATTGTTTTTTTGTTTTTGTTTTTTTTTAAGAGACAGAGTCTCACTTTGTCACCCTTGGTAGAGTGCCATGGTGTCACAGCTCACAGCAACCTCCAGCTCTTGGGCTTAGGTGATTCTCTTGCCTTAGCCTCCCAAGTAGCTAGGACTACAGGTGCCCGCCACAACGCCCGGCTCAGAGAACAAATTGTTTAATAAAGTACTCAAAATATCTGAAGCCTATAGCAAGTTAGTGTGAGAGCTTTGAGGTGAGGGGCAGCCCCAGTACTCTCCTGGGTCTTTGACTCAGAAACTGATCTCCTCGGAGCTCTAATTGAAAAGGCTTGATTATCAGGAAATAAATATTCCTTTCTTTAGAGATTACCAGCCAATACAAATTACATATGAATTTACTGAAGTGAGTAACAATTTTTTTAAAATGCCTAAATAGTCTGATGTTTGGGAAAATAATGACTTCAGATTATTCAAAGATGTTCAGATCGTTAACATTTCTATTGTACAAAGGAGTTAAATAAAAAGTACATCAACTGAGCCACTGTGGGCCTGGGGCTTAAGAGACAGCAGTGCCTGCACCAGCCCAGATGCACTGTGGGTTGAAGGGGATTTAAAGCACGTGGGCGCCAGTGGGAACAAAGGCTTTGCCCAGCTCTCGAGGGCTCTTAGCAGTTCGAGCAGCATGTATGTATGCTTTCCTTTGACAGAAAGCTTGAAAGAATGGCTTATGATTCAGATAACATACAAAGTGCAAGTAAAAGGATGTTTTTTTCTTCATGAGTAAAAAAATTGTTTCTTGCAGTTATTCAGAGAAGGTAAGTGTTTTAGGAAAATCCCAGGACATTAGAGAAAAACCTCGGTCCAAGATGAGTTAGAGATGAGAGACCAAATGACTCAGACCAGCCCAGCTCAGCGAGTTAGATGCCTTTGTTGGAGGTTTCTGACACAGGACACTTGCTCCTGAGCAGCACAGGGTCTCTCCAGAGAGTAAATCCCACACAGCCCACCTGTTTTGTCACCCTGAACCCTTTCCCTGTGAGCGAAACTCAGAGCTCTTTCCCTATGTTACCGCGTGTTCACATATGAGACATCACGCCTGCCAGTGTAATCGTCCTTGCCTTTGGATAACCCATGTATTGCTGATGATCATATAATTACTTCCTGAGCAGAGTTTAGTGTTACAATTAGCTAAGAGGTCCTATAGGACAGTTAAAGCAGTTAGGGCTGGTGTAAGCCTGTTGCCTCAAGGAAGTATTAAGACATCTCTTGTGCCCTACAGTTACCTTTGGTATTTGCTTAATCTCTTTTGTAACAACTCTGAGCACTCCAAGTTAACACTAGCCTACCTTCCTATGTGGTAAAGAAGGTATATTTTTGCCTCAATAGGGAAAGAAGAGAATTATTGCTCAATTCACCAAAGCAACTATGAATTGGAATAGTAGGGCATTTCCCAGCTCAGAATGTATTTGTATCTGCACTTAGCAAAGTTACATTTTAAATCTCCACTTATATTTTTAAGACGAAAGTAGGGATCAAAGTATTATAGTATTTCTGGAAAATAATTTGGTGAGATACATCAGAAGGTTGAAAACTGTATATTGTGTTCTGTGCTAGAGTATTCATGGCAAAAAAAAAAAAAACCCACACATTGTTCTTTGGGCTCAGAATTCCATTTCTAGGAATTTATCCTAAGGAGTAACTATGGGAGAAGATGCAGTGGTTCCTCCATAATATTCTCAAGCCTGAAAACTGCATGTCCTGGACATCAGAGCATCCTAGATTTCTTTTTTTATTTTGGATTAATATAAAAGTACATATGATTGGCTTACATTGTTTGCATTTGCTAGGTAGCATCTGAGGTAGTTGAGTCCTTCACCCAGAAGCTGTGCCATATACCCCTACATTGTACCTGTTGGGTAAGAGCTTACCGAACTCCATTCCTCCCTCTCCCCCTACTTAAATTTAATTGTGTTTTTCTCTCGTGAGGGCATATAATGGTTCTTCTAGTTCCTAATTAGTATTGAGTACATAGGATGTGTGCTTTTCCATTATTCAGATACTTTACTAGGGAAAACATTCTTTAACTCCTATCTAGATAAATACAGAAGATGTAAAGTCTCCATCATTCTTATAGCTGAATAGGTATTCCATGATATACATAGACTACAGTTTATTAATCCATTCCTGGGTTGATGGGCACTTGGGTTGTTGCCATATCTTTGTGATTGTGAATTGAGCTGCTATAAACATTCAAGTGCACTTGTCCTTGTGATAAAATGATTTTTTTTGTTTTGAGACAGTCTCACTTTGTCACCCTTAGTAGAGTGCTGTGGTGTCATAGCTCACAACTCAAGTTGTGAGGCTCAAGTGATTCTCTTGCCTCAGCCTCCCAAGTAGCTGGGACTTCAGGCATCCAGCTATTTTTAGAGACAAGGTCTCACCCTTGCTCAAGCTGGTCTTGAACCTGTGATCTCAGGACAATCCTACAGGCGTGAGCCACCGAGCCTGGCCAAAATGACTTTTTTCTTCTGAGTGGATACCTAGTAATGGAAATGTGGAATGTCTACTTTTAGCTCTTTGAGGATCCATCACCCTTCTCTCCAAAGAGACTATATTAGTTTGCACTCCTACTAGAAGTACAAGATGAAAACTCCCTTCTCTCCACATCCACACCAGCACCTTCAACTTTGGGACTTTGTGATGTGGGCTGTTCTCACTGGAGTTAGGTGATATCTCAGGGTGGTTTTGATTTGCATTTCTCTGAGGATTAGGGACGATGAGCACTTTTTCTTGTGTCTGTTGGCCATTTGTCTTTTTAGGAGAAGGTTGGTTCACGTCTCTTGCCCAGTGATTAGTTGGGTTGTTAGCTCTTTTCTTGATGATTTGCTTGAGTTCTTTGTAGATTCTGGTTATTAGCCCTTTGTCAGATTCTTAACATGCACATGTCTTCTCCCATTCTGAAGATTGCCTGTTTGCTTTGTTTATTGTGTCCTTATCTGCACAGTTTTTAGTTTTTGAGCTTGATCAGATCCCAATTATTTATTTTTGTCATTGCTGCTATTACCAGTGGGGTCTTCTTCATAAAATCTTTCCCCAGCCCAGTTTCATTAAGAGTTTCTCCCACACTTTCTTCTAGAATTTTCATGTCTTAGATTTAAATCTTTAATCTAGCATGAGTTAAGCTTTATAAGTAGTGAGAGGTGCAGGTCCAGTTTCAGTCTTTTACATGTGGCTAACCAGTACCTCCAGCACCACTTATTAAATAGGAATTCTTTGTTGTTGTTGTTTTTATAGTGAAAAGTTATAAATTTAGAATTAGCCAGCTGGACTTGGTTTAGATGATCCCAATTTTGTTGGCAACATCCAAAGCATCATAATCAGGAGCCAGTTGAACATATAAGCCTTCTTCTTCAGGCCTGATCAGGGTGTTGACCTTGGCCACATCAGTGTCACAGAGCTTCTTCACAGCCTGTTTGATGTGGTGCTTGTTGGCTTTGACATCCACAATGAACACAGATGTGTTGTTGTCTTCTATCTTCTTCATGGCAGACTCGGTGGTCAGGGGGAACTTGATGATGGCATAGTGGTCGAGCTTGTTTCTCCTGGGAGTGCTCTTCCAAGGATATTTGGGCTGCCTCCGGAGCCTCAGAGTCTTTGGCTGCCAGAAGGTGGGTGATGTGCCGATCTTCTTTTTTTTGTGGCTGTGGATGACTTTTAGCACTACCTTCTTGACCTTTAATGCCTTTGCTTTGGCTTCAGCTTTGGGAGGGGCAGGAGCTTCCTTCTTCACTTTTGGTGCCATCTTGTGAAAAAGGTAAAGGAATTCTTTGGCCACACAGGTAGTTCATGCCTGTAATTCTAGCACTCTGGGAGGCTGAGATGGGTGGATGGCCTGAACATAAGAGTTGGAGACCAGACTAAGCAAGAGTGAGACACTGTCTCCAAAAAAATAGCCAAGTGTGTCTCGGCGCCTATAGCTCAACCAGCTAAGGCACCAGCCACGTACACCTAAGGTGGCGGGTTCGAATCCCCAGCCCGGACCCGCCAAACAACAATGACGG